ATAAAGACACCAGAAACACCCGATCTTCAACCACTTGGATCTGCATGCCCTAGTCGCTTGGACAACATGGAGGATTAATTACTGCACTTCTGTTGCCTGGGGCATCGTGGGACAATATCGTGCATTCTTCGTCATACCGTGTTAACATTCGCTGACAGCACCAAAAAAAAACGACAGCGCGCTTTATATTTTTCTTTTGCCACAAATTCGGTAAAACAATTGTGCTCATGAACAGATTTCGTGTTTCTGGAATCTCATATGCTCGTGCGTCATTGGGTGGACTGCCATAGCAGTTTCTGCTACCTTTGTAAGGACATGGTGACTCCGCGTGATCTGGACCTGAAGAGTAAGTTCTGTTTATCTTACTATCGTATGAACAAAGACTTTTTGGAGCCATTTTGATGATGTGTTCGTCTACAGCGGGGGTCGGAACTGCCGACCATGTTCGCCGATTGAAGAATCCTTAAGAACATGATCAAGTTCACACGTTTTGATGGGGTTTCAGCGATAATAAAGTTTATGCTTCTCCCTGAGGTTAATCCCATGTGGTCGCATGGTCCAGTATTCTCGTTAGCCAACACTACCTTCTCCTGTCCGGCATCCTCTGCCGTGGCCCTCACTTTAGTAAGGTCTTGTCGATTACGTCCCTCCCTCTTCATCGGGGCTCATCGTGGTTGCCTGCGTAGTTCTGCAATGTCCAGTGCCTTTCCTAACGGGTGTTCGTCGAGCCTTCTTGGCACGTGCCGAGCAGTCGCTGCTCTCGCTCCGTCAGCTGGATTGGAAACGTCTGTGTGACCGTGCTGACGTCCTCATTTCTGATTCTTTTCAGACCCATCTCAGCATCCTCATTTCAGCAGACTGAAGTTGTTTTTTCATGGTTCATGCCTAAGGGTCAGCACCAGCTGCCGCAGAGAATCGGCGGAATTGCAACTGCCCTGTACATCTGCCTTTGAGGGTCTTGGAGCATGGCCAATAGCAGAGAATACTGCTAGACTCCCTGGAATTTACCCAAGCCGAATTCATTCGACCTTGAAGGCAGTTGGCACGATAAATCCCCCAAGGACGACTAGGATCAATACTCCTGGCAGGATAGAATTCCGCGACCCTGGGCAGGCGCTGCATAGCGGTTTCCCCGAGGAAGGTGCCCTTATAAGGGCCCTATCAAGCCACAACTTTACGTCCCAAACGCCCGCCACGCCCGCCCGCCCACAAATGGACGACCGTTCCTGACGCTCGTATTCATTCATTTGCTAAGCAAATTATGAAGCGGCCGTGATGCTGCATGCATACATGGGTACACATATGCAGCCGTATCTTCGGTAGCGGTGATTGGTAAGATGCCTACGGGAAACTCGTCCGAAATCGATTTTCAAGTCACTGAGAACGGAAGGCTTTTTCTTCGCAGG